AATAGCGTCCTAGACGGTCAGTGGACTTGGCTAAGACATAGCAATGGCGAATCGTAGGAATGCCTAGGTTAATCCTATGATGACGGTTTGACTCTATGATCCCCATTATGATGTGAAAAAAATTCACGTTAGGCTGGGAAGGGATTAGGCCCCAATGTCGAAAGACGACTCTAAAAAATGGATGAGGGAGAAAACGGACGATGCCTTCAATAATCCATAGGAGAGGAAAGATGATTGTGCTTTCGTCGGTCCTCTGCATATCAGTGGTTCTGTCTTCCACGAGTGACAGATGAACGTTATCGGGGATGGAACAATGGCGTCGGAAGCCGAAAATTCGATCCGCAGAAAGGAGTGTTGTCAAATTTTTTGCCATCGTAGCCAGCCTAAGGATTATGCCAAACTAATAGTAAACAAGAAAATGGTATTGGGAGTGAAAAAGAAGAGAACTTACAGGGAGCGAAAGGGATAATGAGGGACAGAAGAGAGTTGCAGAGGTCGCGAGGTGGAGGAGTTGTACTAGAAGGCGAACCAAAAAATCTTGAGTATTCAAAGTATACATTCGAAGAGACAAAGTTTTAAACCACATTAAATGGAGAAAGCGTACGAAGAGGCGGGAACTTCTAATGATGACTAGAAAATGTGTGCGTTCTGACATGCTTTGGAATGAGGTTAAGCGCCGGATTTTTGACTTTTCAAGATCGAAACCAAACACGCCGACTAAACAGAGTTAGTGGGGTGTTCGGGGGGCAATTGTGGTAGCCGAATAAAAGTAGACACAGATAGGCAGTGTATATTTTCCCAATTGGTGTATAGTATGCACTCGGCCCGGCCCCTGACGTTTCAGATGCCGAATAAGTTGAGCAGGGGGCCGATTAAAAATTGGAATACGGCATAATGGGTGGACCAAGTGCATAAGTACATGATAGATCAAGAGCGGGCCCTGCCTAGAAAACCAGGAGCATATATAAATAGAAGAATGATGAACAAGAAGAGGTATGTGAGAATTAGTACGCTTTACTTAAGACACACGCAATCTAGAGAGTATACACTAACTTATCCGTCAGAGTGCTAATTCCGGCACCCCCGACTGGTGTGTTCATTCTTTTTCAAGCTACCAGCTAAGGATCTCGAGCATCCCATTGGATCCAAAGAGTATTTCCAAACTACCTTCCCCACAGCTATTTATTCATTTTGGTTTGTAATAATTAGCTTAATTAGCTTAGCTTTAATTAGTTAGTTTATTCATTCGGACTCTCCTTCTTGAGAGCGCAATGTAATAACGTGTATATCTTCCAACCCCACATCTTTCTTCCTTTTATTTAACTACTTATGATGGTTAGTTTAGGGACATCATGTTTCAATTAGCATTCTCCATGTTTGCATCCATTTGTCTTACATGCACCGTCGCTCGGTTCATCATTCTAACTGCGTTGTTAGTTTAATACTTCTTTGAATACGTGCTTTGACCACATTTTATCAAATTGTTTCATATGCCATGTTAAGTAGCTGAGCCTGTTTAGTTGCATTTTTTCATGCGTTGCATTAGTCATGTCGCATAGTTAGGAATCATGCATTTTTTAACTTGTATCTCTTTTAGCTTGGAGTACTAGGTGAGCCTTTACTCGCTTTAGCATAATCACATGTGTGTGATTGTTGCCATGTTTAGCATGCTTGTCATGAGGCTAAGTGCTTAATTGATAAACTGCTTGAATGCCTGTGGATGAAGGCTTGTTGCTTGAATTGGAATAATTTGAGTAATGTTTATATGCGATCACTTTTTTAAGTGGTACATATTTTGAAACAATTTTGCAAAACAAACATGACTTGAGATGTTTCAATTCTTGCAGTTTAGTCCATACTGTGTGTGCGCATCACATAGTAATACTAGCCTAAATAAACCGGAATAAGAGCATATAATGTACATAAAAATCATATCATGATTAGTAGAGGTCGATTTTTGATCGGGCGAGCAGGGGTGCTCAAATGTATTCATGACCTTCCCCTCTCGTACCCAAGATCCGGAGCCTAGACAATCTTGGTGATGACGGACACATGACCTTTGGGACGAGTCATGGGTTTTCTAAATTTTTCAAAAATATTTAGGTGGTGACTCTGTATCTGGCAAAGCAGTCCATTTTTGGCAATTTGATTCAAAATTGATTTTTCAAAAGATTTGCCAGATTTGGATTCTTTGGTGTTTATCAATTTCACATTGCACTTGTGAGATTAGATTCAGAACCGCGGGAGTCCAAACTGTAGGGCTTATTTCGAACTTTCAAAAAGGGGGTGCGAAAAAGTCAAGCTACAGAGCATCAAACACAATAAGTTGTTCTGCTAGAGCACAAGAAGAGGCCTACTCGAGTACATAATACACACCTCCAGTACTTTTGAAAACAACAGACAATCCGCTCAAGCGCAAGAAGGGATGCTCGAGTGTAGGAAACACCGCTCAAGCGTGAAAAACACCCCTCCAGTACTTTTGCAGACGTGCAAAGTACTGAGAGTTTGCAAACCCCGCTCGAGCGCAAAAAGGGCCGCTCAAACGAAGGACCAAAATTCTGGGCAACACAAGGTTTGAAAACTAAGCAACCCACCCGTTCCAAGCACACTCAAAATGCCCAAAGAACCAAATTTAAGGAGGAATAAAGAGGAAAAGGCAATGAGCAACACTTAAAAACTAGAAACCCGAGTTCGGACTACCATAAGCGTCGAGTCAAAACCGGGATCGCTATAAACCACCCTATTGCACTTCGAACACTCATTAATTGACTCTCTTGCTCTGTAGCTAAGTCAGATGCAATGATGACCGGTAAAGTATCCTGAGGCCCTAAAAGGGCATACTTGAGTGTGGCCAGGAGTGGCTTCAACTCAAGTGTAGGTGGTATGACTAAGAATGGTATGGTGACTCTCTAGACGGAGGAGGAAGGGACTCAAACCGGACTTTCCACGGAGGAAAATTCGGTGTAGGAGAAGAATCAAGTAAAACATTCACTTCCTTAACTGACCTGTCAATATCAAAATCCTCAAACCCAAAATGAGCTAAACAAGCCTCTGAAGGGTCCACTGCAAGAATGGAGGGTAAAGCCTCATGTACTATCTCATCCACAAAATCCACAAATAAGCACTCCTCTCTTTCATCGGGTTGTTGGGATACTTGACAAACATTGAGTTTCACTTGCATATTCCCAAATGAAACATCCATAACCCTGGTACAATAATTAATACATGCATTAGCCATATCTAAAAAAGGTCTACTTAGGATCACGGGGATTTGTTTCCTAGAGTTGTCTACCTGTTCCATATCTAGAACCAAAAAATCAACAGAAAAATAAAACCTATCGACCTTTACTAGCACATCCTCAATCATGCCACGTGGCACTTTGAGGGACCGGTCAGCCAACTGGAGTGTGACACTAGTGGGCTTCAACTCGCCAAGCCCAAATTTCTCATACACAGACTACAGCAATAAATTGACACCAGCCCCTAAATATAACAAGGTCCTATCCATGAAATGGCTCCCTATAATGTATGCAATGGTTGGCGCACCCCAGTCTTTAAGCTTAGGGGGTGTGTCACTCAATAAGATGAAGCTTACTTGCTCCGTGAGTATGACCTTTTGGGACACGTGTGTCCTAGATTTACGCTTTTGCGTACAAAGGTCCTTCAAAAATTTGGCATAGGAGGGTTCTTGCTTAATCGCCTCCAACAAAGGGAGGTTGATTTTAACTTGTTTAAAAACCTCCATCATCGCTTCCATGGATGTTGCCTTCTTAATAAAAGGGGACGGTGTATCAAGGCATTAGGAAAAGGGTGCCTTAGGCACATATGGTGCCTTAGACTCATGTGAAAGACTAGGGACTAAGTCATCCCCTTTATGTGTTTCTCCCTCACCCTTGCTCTCATTGGGTTTACCACTGTGGTCACCCTTCTTAGCCCTAGTTGCATCCAATGCAACTGGCCGAGGCTCTAACTCCCTTCCACTCCTCAAAGTAATCACCGCTTGCACCTATTCATGGTGCTTTCCATTCCCACTCGACCCCTCTTCCCCATATTGACCCTTAAGGTTAGCCACAGTCTAACTTGGTAATTTTCCCTTCTCTCTCCTATACATGTTATTAGCTATTTAACCTAATTGGGCCTCTAGCTTGGCAATTGAGTGAGTATGGGAGTGAACTACTAGTGCTAACCCTTTAAGCTCTGAGAGAACTTCCAACACCTGAGTCTCAAAGGCCGAGTTTCCTTGAGGAACAGATAGAGGTTGTAATTGCTGGTAAGGTTGTGGTGGTCAGTAGGAAGATTGGTTGGAAAAATTATTAAAATTATGCCTTGGTGGTGGAGGGTTGTAAGAAGTGCCTTGTGAATGAGGTCTCCGTGAAAAATTAGGGTGATTTCTCTATCCCGGGTTATATGTGTTGGAATATGGGTTGTTACCCAATTTGGAGAATCTTTGAGCAGCATTCACATACTCTTAGACTAATTTCAGAAATTATGATGTTGAAGGGCACTCACTCAAGTCATGAGTAGGGCTCGCACGAATAGCACATGCCTTGTGAAATTGAGGTCGAACTTACTGTGCAAGGGTATGTCCCGAAGCTAATAATTGGTCCATTTTGTAAGACAATGCCTCTACTTGTTGGGCTAACTCTAGGTTTTGCCCTACCTCATAAGTGCCCCATCTTTTCGGGGCTCCAACTACAGGTTGCCAGACTTGCCGGGCTACAGAGGCATGGTGAAGGGAATTATCACATATGTTCTCAAATAATTGACATGCCTCGGCGTCAGTTTTTTACATGAATGTCCCACCATAAGAAGAATCCACCATTTGGCGATGAGGCTCAGTTAAGCCATAGTAAAAGTTCTGAACAAATTGCAAATCAAGCACTTGGTGGTGGGGGCAGTGTTGGAGAAGGTCACGAAGTCTTTTCTATGTTTTGTGAAATTTCTCGTCATCAATTTAAGCAAAATTGGTGATGGCTCGCCTGAGTTGGTTGGTCTTACCAATGGGAAAGTACTTCTCCAAAAAATTATGTTGTAATTGGTCCCATGTTGAGACAGAATTAGCAGGTAAGAAGTTCAACCAAGGTTTGGCTTTGTCCTTCAGTGAAAATAGGAACAGTTGCAACATTAAGGCCCCATTGGTGAAATTCTGGATCCTCATTGTAGAGCAAATTTTTAGAAATTCATGCAGATGTTTATAATGGTCATCATGAGGTAGTCCATGCAATGATGGGAGCATTTGGATAGTGCTGGACTCAATCTCATAATGAGCAGCGGTGGTGTCGGGTAACTGAATGCATGATGGTGATGTATATTTAGTGGGTGTGAAGTAATCCTTAAGGGTCCGGTTGGGCCCACTTGGGACATTCGAGTTCACCATCTCTAATGGTTCGAAGTATGGATATGGATATTCAAGCCCAAGAACACAGGAAGAGGCTTTAAGGTTCCTAAAAGTCATTTCTAGTTCAAGGTCCAAATTCCACAATTCAGGGTGACAAGAACGGCACCCCATGCATACACCACTCACACAAACACACTAAGTTCCGACTCTTGTGCACTAAGTTACTCTTGTGCACTAAGTTATGGAAGCAAAATACCAAAGGGGAACATACTCGCAGCGGTTTAATGAAAACGCTTTACTCGTCTTGCGGGGTGCTTGACATGTAAACCGTTGTCTCCAATCTCCACTTGAGCTCTCCATGTTTAACACTTTGGTACTTTGTTTGCGAGTATTTACTTATATATTTTTATTTTTTAAACACTTCAGCGACGCGGTTTGTTTTTAAAGCTCGATTACACTGCGCCCCGCTTGCACTTCAATGATAGCTCCACTTGCAAAAACTCTACACACTTAGCAACACAAAAGCATTAAATCCTAAACTAAAAATTAAAATAAGAATATAACTTTAATTTAATTAATTTCGCCAGAAGTCACGGCAACGGTGTCGAAATTTGGTGGGTCATTTTACATACCAAAAATAAACACTAAACTGTACCAAATTCCTTAGAATAATGGTAAGTCCAGGTATCAATCCACAAAGACAAATGAGAAATTAAACTAAATTAATTGTTAAATTCCTGAATAATTTTGCTGAAAGATAACCTAATGATAATTAAATTAAATAAAGCGAATAAATTAGCAATTATAAGTAAAGATGAAGTTACTGACTTTGGGAAAATTTTAGGGTAATGAATTCACCACTGGTCACATAAATAAGGTTTCAATTTGAAAATCAATTATGTTACGGTTCAAACTAAATAATACTTCGCAATTACAAGTTCAAAGCATTGATCAAGAAAATTATCACGTTCAATGTATAGGCACGAATCATCTCAAGTAGCACGAGTCGTTCGCTCTAAACTACGATAGCAAAACGACTCGTCCCTCATAGTATGACTCATCTCATACCTTGAATATGCAAGCACAGAAAACCATTGCATGGGAAATATTCAACAATCACAAAAAGAAGAATACTTGAAGAAATAATAAAAACTTATATTTGAAAACTTCTTGAGAACCATACAATTGTTCAGACCATTACATAAAAGAAAACTCTATTTACGTGGCTAGGGTTTCATCAAAACCCTAGAAATAGGAGCCTAGCCACTTGTGGAGGTGTGGGAAGAAGTAGAAGAAGAAGAAAAAGAAGCCTCCATAAAAATTTCCCTTGAAGCTTGAGAATCCTTTTTCCAAACCCTAGCCCCTCCTTTTCTTTCAAATATTTTCAAACCCTAAAAGCAGCCTATTTTCTTCTATTTATTCCCAGTAGAACAATCTTGAATTTCTGGGCACGCAACCCTAGGTGGGTCACTCGAGCGCCCCTACTTTCTGCTAGAGTGGTGGTGGGCCGTACATGCGGTGAGGTGATAGGCTGGGAATTTTCACTACTCGCACGAAGAATCTACTTTTGCGCCACTTTTTGCATGAATTTACATGTTACTTGCCAAATCTGTACAAGTGCACAAAACACATCATCTTCACTAAATATACAAAATTCAAAGACTATAAATGTAACTTAAGCGGCCTCAATGTGGTACCTTTCGGCCTACGTCAATATTCCTAAACTATTATCAAGTTGTTTACATGGTCCATAAACTATTGTTTGAGTCTACTAAATTCATAATGTAATCAAAGTCCATTCAGTTCTTAAACTATCGATTGAATCTATTAAGTTCTAAAAATATTTAATTTAAACCTATTTAGTTTCTAAAATGATTACAAAAATAAAATATAAACCTATAAATATTATAAATTAGTAAAAAAAACCTGTCCAGTTAAAATGGTATTTAAAAAAAAAAATTTAAATTTTTACTTTGTCTTTGAAAAGTGAATGTCAGTTCTTCTAGTGAATTTTCTTTATAAGGATAAGGGTAAGGGTAATTATTTATTGTATTTTTTTACTTTTCTTCTAGCTACTTGCTTGCCTTTCTTTAGTATTATATGCCAGATTTCATTTATAATTTCTAATTGATTTTCTTTAAAAAAATTTCTAATTCATTTTTAGAACTTAATTAATGTATTATTTTATTCTATTATTATTTGTAGCGAAGTGTTATTATTTAAATTATCTAACTATATTTCATCAGCATATTTAATACTCGTATAACTTTATTGATAAGATTGAGAAACCAGACTCTAAAATAAATTTAAACACACAACGAAATAAACACCTTTTAAAGAAAAAATAAAATAAAAATTTAAGATTTTGTTTTTTGTAATAAAATCTTAAGTAGATAGAGTCTTTTAGTAATTTATAATATTTATGAGCATATATTTTATTTTTGTAATTCTTTTAGGGACTAAATATGTTTGAATTAAATACTTTACGGATTTCATAGATTCAATTGATAGTTTAATGAGTAAATAGACTTATATACTTTAGGGACATAATAGATTCAATCAATAGCTTAGGAACTAAATAGACCATGATTTATATATTTTTGGGACTTGGTAGACTGAATAGATATTTCTGGAGCTAACTAAACAACTTGGCAATAGTTTTAGGGATAGAAAGTGTAAGAAACCCATTATAAAAATTGTAAAAAAATCTTATAGGATTATTTTTTTAGCAATTACAAAATATTTTAATTATTTTTTTCATTTCAATTTTTAATTGTCTCCTTTTTTTTATTTTTGTTGTGGAAAATGCAACTTCATATCTATATAAAAAGCAGTTTGGCTTTCAAAAATGTCTAAGAGACACAATTGATTAGAACGGTGTGGATTGGCCTTATTAAAGATTAGATGACTGAGATTACTTGATTTGAGATTAACTTTCTGCCCAAACAATTGTTAACTTTAATTTCATACAATCTCACATCGGGAAAAGAAGGGAAAAAGCGAGTTCTTTCACTTATACAAAGTGAACCTTATGATTTCATTTAATATCGCAGTATTGTGCATGCTTCAGCTAAAGACAGTTTAATAAAATTTAAAATTTTAAAATAAAATATAAAATTTTAATTAATTAGTTTTTATGTAAGTTGGTTGATTTTTTGACCTAGCTGATTAGGCTCAATCGTTTTCGATTTTATCAAAAAAATATTGGTTAGATTTTTTTAGGCTTGAAATAAACTCCTGATCTAAACAATTATTAGCTTTTAGTTTACACAATCCCACATCAAAAAAATAATGATTGAGTGAATTGTTGCACTTATATAAAGTGAACCTTATGCTTCCATTTAATATTGCAATGCTATTCATAATTCAGTTCAATACAATTTAAATTTTAAAGGTTTCTATTAATTAATTTTGGTGTGAGTTGGTTAGTCTTCTAACCCCGTCGGGTAGGCCTAATCGGTTTTGATTTGACTGATTTACTGGTTTGATTGCAATTGTTAACTGTTTTATCAAAATACATAGCGAATGACCTGTGTCTAAAGGCACTACCTATGAAATAAAATTTTTAACTTGGATAAAAAAAAATAGTTGGAATCCTTAAAGTATGATTTCTTTGTCATTTTAGTCCTTTAGGTTTTAATTTTTTCATTTTAATCCTCAAAGTTGTCAATTTAAGTCAATTTAGTCATATCTCTAATGTCCGTTTGCTTTGATAATGGAGAAAGTTTTTTATCCTTGGGTAAAAGATAGTTTTGGTCCCTAAAGTATGCATTTCTTGTCATTTTAGTCCTTTAAGTTTTAAATTTTTTTATTTTGGTCCTCAAAGTTATCAATTTGAGCTATGACCAAATTGACCCAAATTGACAATTTTGAGGTTCAAAATGACAAAATTTAAAACTTTAGAAATTAAAATGACAAGAAATGCACATTTTAGTGACCAAAATTGTCTTTTATACATATTCTTGTTATCAATGTAGACGGACGTTAGACCCACGACCAAATTGACTAAAATTGACAATTTTGAAGAGTAAAATGACAAAATTGAAACTTGAGGAACTAAAATGAAAAACACAACATACTTTAGAAACTAAAACTGTCTTTTATTCTTTAAAATATTCATAAGAATGTAAAGTGCTATCGAGCCATACCAATGCTCACAAAAAGAAAATAATAATAATAAAATAAAATCAATATAAAATTCACAAAATTCAAACATGTACTTCAATTTGATTGATGGTGTTTCCCTAATCGGATTTAATAAATCAACTCAAGTTTCAATTTATATTATATTTGCGTATTCTATGGCTAATAGCCTAATAGTAACATTAATACTAATGATGGTTAGAAGTTAGAGGATGTTAAATTTATTACACTCTACATGTGTTTAGATAACATCAATAGAAAGAATGAGAGTCTTACAATTCTTGATTACAAACAAAGAAAAAAAAAATAATAGTTGCATTTAATAGATAAAAAAATTTCCAAATAAAGAAAAATATCTAAGAGATACAAAGTTAATAAAATTCACAAAGTTATTTTCTATTGAAACATTCTGAAATATCTAAGAGATACAATTGGTTAAAACGGTGCGGATTGATCTAATTAAAGATTAAACAGTTGAGATTGTTTGATCTGAAATAAACTTCATCTCCAAATAATTATTAACTTTTATTTTACAAAATCCCACATCGGAAAAAGAAGAAAAAAGTTAATTGTTTCACTTATATAAAGTTAACTTTATGTGTCCATTTAATATTGTAGTGTTGCAAATATAAAATTTTAATTAATTAATTTTTGTGT